ACACACACACACACACACACACACACACACAGTCCTCTCACCGTGCGCTGAGGTGTGTGCTCCCAGCAGCCAGCAGAGCAGCAGCAGGTACAGTCCTCCCGTCCTCCTCATCCTCAGAGCCAGCCCGGTCCAAACATCCACCGTAAATCCCCACGGAACCAGATCCATCCTGCTGGTCCCTCTGAGTCCAGGAAGACCCGATCCAATCCCAGCTGAGACGGGTTTAAATCCTCCACAGAACCGAGCTGTCAGGATGCAACAGCATGGAAGAGATGAAGAAAAACCCAAACATGTGTTGATCTGGAGGATGAAGATGAGGAGGAGGAGGAGGAGGAGGAGGAGGACCACCTCTCCTCTCCACAGATTATTCCTCTGATCCCGAACAGAAAGAAAATATTTAAAAATCCAGAAACTGCAGGAAGCAGCAGCTCAGCTTAGAAAGAAGAAGTTCCAGGAACTAAGAAGGAGCGTCCATCACTCCTGAGCCGCTCCTGGGTCCACATGGACGGGGAGAGCCGAGCTGCCTTCCCGGAGGTCTGCTCCGTCTGCCGGGGAGGACCGACGGACCGGCTCGGGTGGGAGGAGGAGGGGGGAGTCACAGCTGGAGAGAGAGAGAGGAGAGAGAGAGGAGASAGAGGAGAGAGAGGAGCAGAACACAGCCATGGAGCTAAACGGGCTGCAGGTAAAGCCCGGAGCCGGAGGAGGGGAGCGGGACCGAGCGGAGCCTGAGCCCGGCGCAGGGGCCTCTGCAGSCGGGGAGAGATCAGCTGAACTCTGCTGCCCCCTGTGGTCAAACCGGAAACAGCTCCATGGTCCAAATTTAAACAACTTTACATTCAAGTTATTCAGATCATTTTAAAAATGTTTAAAATAAAAACACAGGAAATAAGTCTGTCAAGCTTTTACTGCAGAAAAGGTTTAAAATGTTTTGGCCCTTTTTTGTCTGTTAGCAAAATATCTCACATACCAGAGGACGGATTTCAGTGAAACTCTCAGGAAGTAATCAGTGGATGGTCGACTACAGCTGATTTATATTTCAACTCAACTTGATTCAAGATGGCCGCCACAGCTGATCAACTTCACCCAACACAAAAGTTGCTGCAACTCAGTCAGTTTTACAGWTASTGASYTAWAAYYTRGTGTGGTAGTAGCTGAGAGTCACCTCTAATATATAGGTACACTGACTCCGTCACATTCTGCAGTGTTTTCAGTGAAAACTCTGGCGTTAACTGGAGTCAGTGCCATGTTGTCTGTTAGCAAAACATCTCATGCATGCACGGAACAGATTTTAGTGAAACTCTCAGTATTCACACAATGGCCTCCACAGCTCATCGACTTTAATAAAGAAAATCTGTTTTTCAGATTCATGAACGACATCTTTGTTTACATTCTGACCAAATAAAATTCATCTCTCAGTTCTGCAGCGCCTGCAGCGCCCACAGTTCTGCTCCTACACCTGGCGCCGTCTGAGCCTCAGGTTTTATTGTCTCTCGTCAGGTTTTCATCAGCAGCTGAGATCTTCGCAGCAACGCGGCTGCTGGAGGACAATAAAAGCCCAGAATGTTGTCCTCTTCGTCTGAACGGATATTAATATCAGAGGGGAAATTAAAACGCTGCTTTCAGCTGACGGAGGATGAAAAACACCAACATGGAACAGATGATTATTAATATGTTCAGTTTTACACAAGAGTGAAACAAACCATCATTCATCCATTCATTCATTCATTCATTCATTCATTCATTCATTCATTCATTCATTCATTCATTCATTCATTCAGGTCAGGGTTCCACTTTAATTTGTTTCATTATGTTGTAAAACAGAAAACTGATCTATAAATTAGAACAATAAATTACTTTTATTTTTAAAAAACTAACGTATGCAGTGACTATTTAATGCTTCTGTCAAAACCTTTGGTTTGATTCTCAGCAAATAAAATAAAACTTATTCGGATGYGGTTCAGCCAGAGGAAATGGACCGTAGTTTGAACAAAAGGAGGAGGAAACTGTTCAAATTAATATAAAGTTACTTTTAATAAAAAGTGAATCCAATTAAAATAAAACAAACAACTAAATGTTCTGAAATAAATCTGCAGTCTAAAACAAATCAAAACAWTTCTAACAATTAAACAAGTTTTCACACAGACAAGTCTCAAACTAATGCAGCCATAAACTTAACTAAATCTGCAGAAAAAAAACAGTTTATATTTAGTGTTAGCTAACAGCTAACAGAGAGGAATCAAATGATCATTTAGTGAATTAACTTCTTTAAAAACAAACAGAGGACCAGTTAGCTTGTGCTAAATTAGATTTTAGTCCTTTAAGTCTGCTAACAGCTAACTAACAAGCTAATAGTCTTCAGCAGGAAGGAGACAAAGACGTTTGACAAAACTGACAGCTGTGTTAGCAGTTAGCGGTTAGCGGTTAGCTGTTAGTGCTAGATTCTTGTATTTTTTATAAATGTTTAGCATTAGCTTCTGCTAATATTGTTTTTCAGTTTAGAATTACCTTCTGCTGTTTTTTTACATGTTTAATATTACTTAACGCCAATAGTTTTTTTATTTTTAGCCTTTTAGCATTAGCTTCTGCTGTTTTTTTTTCTATTACGTTTAACATTAGTTTCTGGTAACGGTTTTTACACATTTAGCTGTTTAGCATTACCTTCTTCTGTTTTTTACGTTTATTGCTAATAGTTTTTTATATTTAGCTTTTTAACATTAGCTTCTGCAGTTTTTTACATATTTAATGTTAGTTTCTGCTAACTGTTTTTACATATTTAGCCTTTTAGCATTAGCTTCTGCTGTTTTTTTACATTTGACATTAGTTTCTGCTATCGGTTTTTACATATTTAGCCTTTTAGCATTAGCTTCTGCAGTTTTTTTACATATTTAACGTTAGTTTCTGCTAACTGTTTTTACATATTTAGCCTTTTAGCATTAGCTTCTGCTGTTTTTTTACATTTGACATTAGTTTCTGCTAACGGTTTTTACAAATTTAGCCTTTTAGCATTACCTTCTGCTGTTTTTTACATATTTAACATTAGTTTCTGCTAACTGTTTTACACATTTAGCCTTTTAGCATTAACTTCTGCTGTTTTTTTACATTTGACATTAGTTTCTGCTAATTGTTTTTACATATTTAGCCTTTTAGCATTAGCTTCTGCTGTTTTTTTACATTTGACATTAGTTTCTGCTAACGGTTTTTACATATTTAGCCTTTTAGCATTAGCTTCTGCTGTTTTTTTACATTTGACATTAGTTTCTGCTAACGGTTTTTACATATTTAGCCTTT